AAATAAAAATATCTTCCCGAGGCGGTACTGGAGGCCTCCCTGGCCATGTAATGACCGTCCCGTGTCCTACAATAGGCAAGCCTGAGCCAGGTCTGGTCTAGAGGCACGCAAAGAGATAGGGCGTCTGCCCTTTTACCCCGTGAGTGGGGCAGCCTGACAGGGTTACTGTTACTTGCAGGTAAAGAATCTTCCCATACGTTCGTCTCTTTCAATATTTTTGTTCATAATTATCTGTGTGTATGTGTTTGGGCTTCTCTTAATTGTGTAAAGCAGGTTACCCTTGTTTGTCTCAGCTTTTTTAAGGGGATCTGCCATTGGGGGAGGTGGCCTGGAGATCAGACCCAGGGGCAGTGACTTCCCTTTGGCCACATGGGAGTAACAGGTAAAGAAGCTGACATCAGGTTCCCTCTCCCTGAGGGAAAGTAGTACAGTGGAAAACCACAAGTGGCTTCTGACCTGACAAGTCCTTCATTTACCTACTTCTGCCCTCTCTGACCCAGCCCTCCTTCCTGCAGGAGGAGGTGGGTTTCCAAGAAGTAGGGAGTTGAGTTTTCTAGACAATCAATGAATTTTGTAATTGGAAAAGTAACTTAGAGTAGCTTTGGAATAGTCTAAGTGACAACCACCTCTAAAGTCAGAAACCTGGGCCTCTTTCTCAACACCTCTCTCTTCAGGCCAATGCCACCAAACCCCCTTGGCTTATTTCCTGAATATATTCCAAATACTTGCCCTCCATGGCTGCCTTCGTTCAGGCCCCATCCTGTCTCACTAAAATTACCATGACAGCCACCTTGCTAGTCTCCTGGTCACCTCTCTTGGATCCATTTTCCACACTGCTGCTGCAAAGATTTTTTTTTTTTTAAAGATGTCCTATTTCCTGCAACAGTGGTTCTCAAATCTTGGTATGCATCAGATTCAGCTAGAAGCTTATTAAAAACATAGATACCTGGGTCTCACAAATCAGGATCTTGAGGGAGGGGGTAACTGGGCACCAGTGTTTTTAACAAGCTCAGACTTTGATGCGCACCAAAATGTGACCATGAGTACATAAGATAAAGTCAAAAAAGCTGGCAGCTGAGGCCTGTCAGACCTGGATCTCAATTACTTCTCCAGGTACATCCCCCTTCTGAAACCCTATCCTGTATTCACATTGAAATCTCAACTGTCGTGTTCTCTCAAGCCTGCAAGCCTCATTTAGTTCCTTCTGCCTAGACTGCCCAATCTACCATTCTCTACTTACCTGCCTGGAGACTTCTTTGAACAGTGCAAATGCCACCTTCCCTATAAAGCCTTCCCTTACATCTCCTTCCAGTCTTTGTTTATAGCACTTTATCTCACTGGGCTGTTATTTTACTTCTTATGTGTCTGTCTCCCTTGCTAATTGCTAACTCCTCACAGGAAGACTATAATTTATCCATCTTGGTATCCTCAGGACCTAGCAGTGTTTTTATATATAGTAGGCAGCTTAATACACGTTCCTTGAATGAATTGGTTTACCCCCTGTATATGATGAGAACAGAGCTGCCACCAAGTTACCTATCCAAGGGGCCAGCTACCTATCCAGGGGAGCAGAAGATGGGTGGGATTGGGTGGGCCTCCTTACCACAGTGTGCCCTGGACTACTACTCATCTTGATAGATTGAGGATGTAGATCTGGATTCCAACAGGACTTTGGAACCATCCTGCCAGCAGGGTCAGGCTGTCAATAAATGGGAATTTACCAGTAGCCTATGGCATAATCTGTTGTTGGAGTTTTTATTTTGTTTTGGAGGATGGAAGATATAAGAAATCTGGGGCCAGCCCAGTGGCATAGCGGTTAAGTGCACACACTCTGCTGCCGTGGCCCGGGATTTGGATCCCAGGCGCACAGTGACTCACCGCTTGTCAAGCCATGCTGTAGGCAGCCTCCCATATAAAATGGAGGAAGATAGGCACAGATGTTAGCCCACGGCCAATCTTCCTCAGCAAAAAGAGGAGGACTGGCGACAGATGGTAGCTCAGGGCTGATCTTCCTCACACACACACACAAAAAAGAAATCTGATTCTTCCCTTTTTCTCCTCTGCATGCCACCCCCGCGAGCGTGTGCACACACACACACACACAATCTTAAATCCAGACAACCCCTCTATGTCCACAATCTCTTGTCCTCTGTCATTCCCACCAAACTTGTTCTTCCATTTCACTGAGACCTGCGACCCCTCCCACTACCCCTTTGGCCTTTTTCTAGCTTATCTTCCTAACCCGTGCAGCTTAGATTTCGCATTCCATCATTTCAGCCACATTCTTTCCTGTCTTCTTGATGTCTCCCATACTTTCATTGCAGCTGCCAAGTGAAACCTCAGTGATGGGTCAATTCATCTGTCAATATTCAAGCACCTATACCCAGGATGCTAAAAGAATCTTAACACTCTGATGTGTTAAGATCGTGTGTCTATAAATCGTGTTCTTCAACCTTAGTTGGGCCTCCATGCTGCCCAGTGATCCTGTTCCATTTCCAAATCAGCTGTCTTCCATTCACAACCCATTCTTCTCAAACCTCTAACTTATCTCCCTCTTCTCGTCAGTTGATCTCCCTTTAGAGCCTAGTGGGAGATGCAAGCAAAAAAGCAATTACAGACACGATATTAGGTGCTGTGACAGAGAAAGTATTTGAGCTGTGGGAGCACCCATGAAGGAGGAACATCTAATTTGGGCTTGAACAGTCAAGAGGGCCGGCCCCATGGCATAGTGGTCAAGTTCAGTGCCCTCCGCCTCAGCCACCTGGGATTCACAGGTTCAGATCCTGGGCAAGGACCTACACAACTTGTCAGCCATACTGTGGCAGCGACCCATGTACAAGATAGAGGAAGACTGGCAACAGATGTTAGCTCAGGGCAAATCTTCCTCAAGCAAAATAAAACAAAACAAAACAAAGACAACAACAGCTCAAGAGCTAAGTCCTGAAGGGAGAGGAGGAGTTTGCCAGAACAGAGGGAACAACGAAGGAGAAACAATTCCGTTTGGCTGGAGCATTGCGTGTATCTTAAAAGATAAAATTGGAGAGGCAAGCAGGATCACATCTTGAAGCTATGTAAAAGAATTTGGACTTGATCCTGCTTTATTTATTTATTTATTTTTTTAAAGATTTTGTTTATTTTATTTTTTCCCCCCAAAGCCCCAGTGGATAGTTGTGTGTCATAGCTGCACATCCTTCTAGTTGCTGTATGTGGGACTCGGCCTCAGGATGAACGGAGAAATGGTGCCTCAATGCACACCCGGGATCCGAACCCGGGCCACCAGCATCACAGCGCGCGCACTTAACCACCAAGCCACAGGGCCGGCCCTGATCCTGCTTTAAATGGGAATAAAATCAGATTCATGCCTCGGACTTCAGGGTGATCAGACTAGAGGAGAGCAGAAAGCTTGCTAATCAGTTAAGAAAAGATGGAGGCTTGAACTAAGGTAGTAGCAGTGGGCTTGGAGAACTTTGAATGTATTATTAAAGAGATAATTAGAAAGTAGAAGAGAGAGGATTTGATGGCTGATTGGAATGTAAGGGCTAAGGCAGAGGGAAGGGTCTGGGATGACATGTGGGTGTCTAAATTGAGGACAACTAATATAGAACTTACAGAAAGAGGAAGTCTGGGGGAAGAAAATAAGGAATTCAATTTTGGATTGTGCCTGGGATGGTGAGTTTAAGGTGCCTGGGAAAGACATGCATGTGATGTTCAGTGAGCAATTGGATGCTGGATCTGGAACTCCAGAGATCTGGGACAAAGATGAGATTAGGATTAGTCAGCATTAATGTAGTAATTGAAGTTTTGGGAGTAGATGAGATCCTTAAGGGAATATGTAAAGGTCTGAGGAAATAAGGCCTGTGATAGAACCCTCAGGATATGATTAAGGGATAGATGGAGGAAGATGAGGCTCCAGCGGAGTCAGGAATGGCTAGAAGGATGGGAGGAAAATGTACTACAGAGTTCAAAGTCATGGAAGGCAAGATAAGAATGCATTTCAGGGTTAAGACCTGAAGTCTACTTCTCCACCTTTGCAATCTAAGTGATCCTTAAAACCTTGTAACTGTCTTTACTCATATGAAGGTATGGAAGTGAAGCTTTGCGATTTTGGAGCCTAGGTCTGAATTGGTCATGCAATTTCTGATTTTTTTTTCTCATGAAATGCAGTGCCACTATGTGAGGGAACTCAGGCTAGTATGTTGGATAATAAGACCATATGTGGCAGAAACAAACCATCCTAGCTGAGATGAGACCACCAGACGAACCACCCAACTGCGCCCAGTTCAATTTGCAAAAAAAATGCATTTTATTTTATTTATTATTTTTTTTTTCTGAGGAAGATTTGCCCTGAGCTAACATCCGCTGCCAATCTTCCTCTTTTTGTATGTGAGCCGCCACCACAGCATGGCCACTGACAGAGGAGTGGTGTAGGTCTGCATCCAGGAACCAAACCCAGGCTGCTGAAGCAGAGAGTGCTGAACTTAACCACTTAAGTGGGTTAACCACTTAGGCCACGGGGGCTGGTCCAAAAATGCATTTCACGGTTAGATTCCTTAGAACATGCTTCTACACCTCGCAGTTCTCTGTAATATTCTCACACTCATGTGTTTCTTGTGCTGGATTATAAACTCTAGGAGCATAGGGTCTCTATTGGCCTTACTGGTTATTTTATCCCAGTACTCAGCATGCTGCTTGGCATACAGTAGGTGCTCAGTAAACATGAATGGCTGGGGCTGGCCCAGTGGCATAGTGGTTGGGTTCACGTGCTCTGCTTCGGCAGCCTGGGGTTCACAGGTTCGGATCCCAGGTGCAGACCTATGCACCGCTTATCAAGCCATGCTGTGGCAGGTGTCCCACATATAAAGTAGAGGAGGATGGGCACGAATGTCAGGGCCAGTCTTCCTCAGCAAAAAGAAGAGGATTGGCAACAGATGCTAGCTCAGGGCTAATCTTCCTCACCAAAAAAGACACAAAAAAACAAAACACATGAGTGGTTGAAGGGGCCAGATCTATGGAGGAAGTCTCACCAGATTCAGAAGGTGCCTCCAGGACTGAAAATGCTCCAAACTGCACTTCATTCTCAAGCTTTGTGGCCAATGGTGGATAGAAGGTGAATTGTGATGTATTTGGAACGTGGGACCTTGGGGTGTTCCGTAACCAAGAGGAGAAAGTAACAACAACCAGTCGAGACAAGAAGAACTGCTTCTCCCTTCTTCCTCCTCCAAATTCCTAGTGGAGAGCTGAGCCCAGCATCCCAGACTTGTGTGACTAAACAGGCAAGCATTCGGAGAGTGCCTTCACTTTGGTACTCTAGCCCTCAGTGGCTCAAGGTGTTGGCTTTCTGAGCAGACAGGAGGCTTTTAAGTAGCAAAGCTCCCTGCTGGCAGCAAGCCCAATATCATGGGGAAGGAAAACACCTTGGAGGCAGCACCACCCACCTCAGCCTACCGCTCTGTCATGGAGGAGTATGGTTACGAGGTGGGCAAGGTGATTGGCAATGGCTCCTATGGGACAGTGTATGAGGCTTACTACACAAAGCAGAAGGTCATGGTGGCTGTCAAGATCATCTCAAAGAAGAAGGCCTCTGAGGACTATCTTAACAAGTTCCTGCCCCGTGAGATACAGGTTGGAAAGGGCTGGAAGAGGGAACTGGTAGCAACCTGCTTAAGGCTTCTCAGAAGGGATATTAGGAGGGGGTAGGGCCAGAAACCCCCAAACCAGAACTGAATGTCTCACTAAGCAGCTAGAAAATTACCTGATGTAAATTCAACCTCTTTCCACCTACCCCTTCACCTCCATCCCTTCAAAAAGTGCAAAGCACAGGGTTTGCCCACAGGCCACCAACCTCTGGGGTTTGATTCTGTTGCAAAGTTCTAAGAAGGTAGCAGTGGGAGAGCAGGAGGGCTGGGAGCACAGCCAGGGTTCTCCCTTCCCAGGTTTGATGGATCCTTCTTCTGGGGCCAGGTAATGAAGGTCCTGCGGCACAAGTACCTCATCAACTTCTATCAGGCCATCGAGACCACATCCCGAGTGTACATCATCCTGGAGCTGGCTCAGGGTGGTGACGTCCTTGAATGGATCCAGCGCTATGGGGCCTGCTCTGAGCCCCTTGCTGGCAAGTGGTTCTCCCAGATGACCCTGGGCATCGCCTACCTGCACAGCAAGGGCATAGTGCACCGGTGAGGACGCTGCCACCCTGACTGGGGCCTTTGGGGTCTCGAGGGGGTTTTATGCACATCTCCCATTTTCGGCCCTTTTTTCCTCCCTTGACCTCCCTTCTCGGTATCTGGGCCCGTTCATCCACTTTATTTTAATCATATGGTCAAGAACATTTATTAAGTACCCACTGTGAGCAGAGCACTTTATGAAATACGATGGTGAGCTCCCAGTAGTCCTCAGGTACCATCTTCTCACCTCTGGGCTCTGCTCACAACTCCATGGCTTTCTTTCCTCTCTACCTTGTGTCCTCATAACGGCATCTCTCTCCCACTTTGCCTTTCCTCATGTCTAGCCTCTGACCCCTGGCCCTTCAGTTCCCGGTCTAATACTAAGCCCTCTCCCCAGCCTGACCCCCAGCCTTTCTGCTGCTGGTAGGGATTTAAAGTTGGAGAACCTATTGCTGGACAAGCGGGAGAACGTGAAGATATCGGACTTTGGCTTCGCCAAGATGGTGTCTTCTAACCAGCCTGTGTGCAGTAGCCCTTCCTACCACCAAGTGAACTGCTTTACCCAGCTCAGCCAGACCTACTGTGGCAGCTTTGCTTATGCCTGCCCAGAAATCTTGCTGGGCTTGCCCTACAACCCTTTCCTGTCTGACACCTGGAGCATGGGCGTCATCCTCTACACTCTAGTGGTTGCCCATCTGCCCTTTGATGACACCAATCTCAAGAAGCTGCTGAAAGAGACTCAGAAGGAGGTCACTTTTCCATCTAACCAGACCATCTCCCAGGAGTGCAAGGTGCTGGCTCCCCCAGGAGGGCTGAGGCCTCAGGGATGACCCACAGGAAGGGAATACCTGACTTAGGCCTCCCAACCCTAGGCTCTACTCCTGCCTGGAATAGTGGGAGGGCTTAAAGGGCCAACCCACCTTAAGGGCTGTGCACCTTAGATGTCATAAGCAGGTTTCAGCCTCTCTCTTTAGGCCAGAAAGGGATTATGCAAGGGATTCCCCCAAGGAACCCTTCCTACCCCTCCTTTCCAGGGGAGTTAAATGCCTGGCTCTTCAGGATACAATCAGGGCCACACCCCTTTCACCAGAGTGGCATGATAGGCTATCCTGCTTCTTTCTTAGGTCCAGCTGCTCATTGCCAGTGTGGCACAATGGGGGGCAAGCTCAGCCAAGACCTCTCTCTCCCCTGTCCTAGAACCTGGTCCTCCAGATGCTACGCCAGGCCACCAAGCGTGCCACCATCCTGGACATCATCAAGGATCCCTGGGTGCTCAAGTTCCAGCCTGACCAACCCACCCATGAGATCAGGCTGCTCGAGGCCATGTGCCAGTTCCACAGTACCACTAATCGTCACCAATCCTTGGAAATCAATACCTGAAAGTGGCCGAGGGAGGGGACTGAGAGACAAGCAAAGCAGAAGGGTCTGGGGCTAAAACTCTTTTTATACCAAAAATAAATCTAATTCTGATTTAGTTTCATCAGCTGGGGTCAAAGACATTCTTTCCTCAGGGGAAACTTAGCAGGGAACACTGCTGAGGGAAAGAGGTAGATTTCTGCCCAGAGCCTGCAACAGACACCTGTTAAGTCAGCATCGTGATTCAAAATGTAGCTTGTATGTGGCTCATGGGGAGAGGTGCTCAGATGAACACCTGCTATTGGGAAGCTTCACTATCCTGGTGAAGTACATGCTCATTATTTTACATCTCTGTGCACTCTAAATGTTCAAGCAGTGGGGTAGAGGCCCTGGTTGCTCTGTTTGGTCATGGCTCTGCCTCTGTCTATAGTCCAAAGGGACGGCATTGTTTGTTCTGTTAGAAATGGGTATCAGGATATATGAAATATCTTGGTTCTTTCTTCCTCCTCCAATTGCCACCTTAACCACTATTGAAACAATCCCAGTGAATCACGGCCCCTCGCACTACTGCTCCTAAACACAGAAGTGACAGTTCAAACCAAGCCTATTACCTATGGGTTCTGGATCAAGGAAAGCTACTTTATCCCTCTATTCTCCCTCCCTGTCCTTGAAAATGGGCTTTGCAAAAGCACAATGGGTAGTAAATCATGGGGCTGTCTTGGCAGAGGCATGATTGGAGAAAGCCATGAGGGAAGACTCAGAGACAGCTCCACGTGGCTCTAAGATAAATAATAGACAGCAGTTTCCTCAACCTCAGCACCAGGCAACTCTAGGACAAACCACCTTGAAAGATGAAATAGTATCCGCCTAGAACACAGTAGGTTAAGACACTGGAAACTCCCATTTATTCTATGTTCCAATGCCCCTTCATTACTCCCATTATTATTCATTGCTTAAAACAAAGCTCCAAGGACCAGGGGAAGAGTTTCAGGTGGAGAGCAGGCAGTAGAAGCACTAGCACTCCATCTACCCAATTTTATTGGGAACAAGGGCACTGTAAGTGCTATCAAAGAGAAGGGAGCCCAGGGGCTCCTCCCACACCAAGATCCTTCTTCAGAGTTGAGCCAGGGATGGGAGGCAACAGACCCTTTTCTCAGGCAGGGTCACACTACCACCCTCAGCAGGACCTCCCGAAAAGGCTATGGTCCTTTAGCTCAGCACTTGGCACTTAAGGAAAAGAGAGCAACGAAGGCAGCGTCAGGAAGACAAGCCCAGACTCATCAGGATACCCACTCAGCCAACTGCTTTAGTGCTTCTTCATCTTCATCCGCTTCGGGAGCTTTGGGGACAAGGATACCCAGAGAAAGAAAGACGTGTTAAGGCCTCAGCAACTTCCAACCATCCCCTGCTATAACACTCAGAACCTGCTGAATTATCTCTCCCCAGCAAAGAACCTAAAGGTGTGGTCCTTCTGCTTGCTGGGCTGCTGCTATACCCATAGCCCTTTGTGCAAATTAGATTCTCCCAGCACTTGCAGCCCTAAACCAGGGTACACAGCTTGCTGAGTGGAGCACAGGCCAGATTTCAGTCCCCATTCCCCTTCAGCCAGGTGCCCTTATGCAGTCAACAACCTTTGCAACTGTAGCAGCAGCCCTCTCTGCCTGGTTCCTTGAGCCAGGATAGATGAGGAATAATCTTTCCCCATATCTATCCCACTCTCTCAAGTCCTTGAGTCAACAGAACAGCCCTGGGTACCTGGCCCTGCTGGCAGGTGTGTAGAGGGTACACTGGGTAGTTTGATTGGAGGTTCTTCCTCCTTGTCTTCCACATCTAACACCTCCCGGGCCAATTCCTCCTGCTCCAGCTCCTCTAGCTCCTCCAACAGTTCATCCTGGATATGGGACAACAAGACTGTTCAAGACGAAGAAAAGAAACTTCTACTTCCCAAAACATACCACTTCAGGAGTTCCTCCCCCAAACTTGCCCCATAATTCTCTTGGGCATTCCTTCTGCCTGGTCTCATGCTTTCTCCAATACTCCCTGACCCCTCACTCCCAATCACCTCATCCACATCCTCTCCAAAGCCCACAGGCCGAGAAATGGCATCTGAGATCTGCTGGGCCACCTCCTGTTGTTCTGTGATGTCAGCCATCAGTTCATCCACCTTGTCAATGTCCCTGAGAATAAGATATATAGCAGAAAAATTAGGCAACAACCCCCCTGACTTTCTCATCTCACATGAAGGAAGTCCCTCCTGCTTGTGGCCTCAGACTGATAAATCCGTGGCTACCATGTAGAAGAGATCCCTGCAAAACTGTAAAGATGCAAGGCCGGGCTGAGAAACGGCAAGAAGCCACACTGGGGAGGAGAGTTTGCACTTCCTTCTCTGAAGGATTTTTACCAATTAGGAAAATCATTTTTCCTCCCTAGAACACCCCAGCCAGTAAAGAGATCTTCTTGCAGGAAGCAAGGAAGCTGACAGGGGTCTAGCCATTACGGGCATCTACACTGTGAATTCATATTCCGAGAGGTTTTAAGATTCAAAGTACAATACCAAGCCACTCTCCCCAGTGCCTGGGCCCCCTCCGCCCCTCCCCCCGTACCCACATGTCCTGGTAGGCCTTCTTCATGCCTTGAGCAGCAAGCTCCATGGTACGAAGCACTTCTACATTGGTGGTGGCATTTTCAATGGCCTCACGCTGAAACTCCAGGGTGGATAATGTCCCGTCAGTTTGTGCCAGTTGCTGTTCCAGTCTCTTCTTCCTCCGCAAAGCCTGTAGGGCGGCTGACCCAGCCCACACCCTGAAGATCAGAGCCAGAAGCCCCTGCTGCCCACCTGGACCCTCCCTATTGGCACCTTTCCCCCTTACCTCTCTTATTCTTGGTGCCATGCTTCTTGGCCGTTTGTAGCTCCTGTTGAATCTTGTGCTCCAGAAATTCCTGTTTCTTGATCAGTATCTTCTCCGTCTCCTTCAGTTTCTGTATTGCCTCTTCAGGGGTTGGCCCCTTCTCCTTCTTCCCTGGAGTCCAATGGAGCAGGCCCATATTGTGTGAAGGAAAAATACTAACCACCAATCATTGAGTGCACAGTATATGCTAGGCATTTGACTGTTATTCTTAATTGCAAAATGACTCTCTGCAATGAATGTGCTATCTTTACTTCATACATATGAAAAAAGGCAAAAGGATGTTAAATTTTTTTGTCTAGAAATCACAACTACTAAGACAGTGAGCAGGAATTGAAACGTGGCAGTATAACCTCCAAAGCCAGTATTCTTTTGCTGTTCCAAGCTGCCTTTCAAGTTGTTTCCAATTTTTAAAAAATTAATAGACTCTATTTTTTAGAGCAGTTTTATGTTCACAGCAAAACTGAGTGGAAGGTACAGAGATTTCCCATATACCCGCCTGCACCCACGCATGCACAGCCTCCCCACGATCACATCCCCCACCAGAGTTCAGTCCCTTTTTATAATCACTGTTCCACTTGCTGTCCTAGGAGATGCCCAAGGTCCTGACTCCACAGGATCAAACTGAATGAAATACAGGGGGCTAGAGAAAAACAAAATCTGATCTCAATTTTCCCCTTCATCTTCTGCACATCTAACAGAGTTATTTTTCCACACACACACAAAAAAAATCTGACCACCCTTGCCTACTTAAAATCCTTCCATACTCTCCACTGCCTACAGGATAAAATCCAAAACTTTTTTAACAAGACATACAAGGTCTTTCATAATCTGCCTCTTAAGTACCTCTCCATCCACACTGCCTTCTACTTTCCTCTTCCCCTTCAGCACACAAACACACTACACACTACACACACACACTCATACACACAGGGAAGCTAGAATTTCTTTTCCCTGAATATACCATACTTTTTCTTGCTTCTGTTTTGCACACACAGCTCTTCCTGGAGTGCTTCAGTTCTTCACCTGGCACACTTCTGCTTCTGTGCTTTCCTGATTTTTAGGAACATCTCCATCATGGAGTTGCTACACTACACTGTAAACGCCAATTTTTGCTTGTCTTTCCCCACCAGATAGAGCTTCAACAGGGCAATCATTCTTCGTCATCTCAGATTCCCTCTTGCCCGGCAAAAGTAAGCACCAGTGTTTTGGAAAGGACTGGATGACAAAAGCTGGAAACTCGTCCCCAAACCTAAACAGTGGGAGCCAGCACAGTCGCCACGCCCTCCACTCACATTCCCTCCAGGGCCTCGAGCTCTTCCCTGTGGGGTATGGGAAGCAAGGCACACGGAGCCAGGCCCCCTGACAAGACGGGACCTCCTGGCACGAGAGGCGGCCTTGCTGGGCCATTGGACGGGGTTTTCGGGACAGCCTGTCCCCTGGGTCTCTTCCCCTCCGGGGCTGCGGTCTCCCCGACCCCTGCGGCCAGCACCTCCCGGTCGATCAGTCTCGCCCGGCTCACCCCTCCCGAAGAGTCTGCCGAGCCCACTCATCGCGAACCCGGCCTCTTCCTCCTGCGCCCCACAGCGGCCCGCACACTTCCGCCTTGCTCCTGGGAGGGTCCTGTCTCATCACTCGGAGACCAGACTCGGCCAATCCCTCCTTGGGGCACCGCGACGACATCATCAACCGGCGCCAACGTGGCCGCTTCTATCACGTGACGCGAGCCACCCGCCCCCGTGCATTCCTCTTAAAGCGGCTGCTTCATTGTCCACTATATAAAAAGGCCGCCCCACCCCCACCCCAAAACAAAAGATTTGTTTCCTGGAGGGAAATGTGCAGGGTAATGCGCCCCACTACTTGGGGCCAGTGGAAGAGATCTTCATGCCCTTGACATAGCTCCGGAGAGGGGTGGGGATGGGGCAAGCACAAGGGAATCAGTCTTGGGTTTGCCACACGTTTATGAGGCAGAACCTGATGCCGTCTAAGGCCTCAGACTCTGGTCTTGACACCTCCGGGTAGCCGACCCCGGTTCACGCGCTAGAAAAACAGAAACGACCCACAATGTGGGTAAGTCCTCTTCTGTCACATGCAAATACACTTTAATAATTTACAAATACACCTGTAAATGCTTTCCTGATTTCCTTTCAGTTTTATGCCTCCAATGAGGCTCATCCACAAGACCGGACCTCAGGCTTGGGCCTTTGCAAATGTCTCTAATCCTTGAGTTAGGGTTTGAAGACTCATTCCATTCCGAATATGAATGCAGGTTACACCTGGCAAGAAATGAAACCACATTTCATCAGGCCTTCGGGGCTCTCTACTATTTTTTTTTTTTTTTTTTGGCTCGTAAACAACAGGAATTTATTTCTCAGGGATCTGGAGGCTGGAGTCCAGGATCAGACACCAGCTGATTCCGTGTCTGCTGAGCAGGGCTCCATAAAATTACTCTCACCTTTGTGGGTGTCACCTGTCATGCAAACAATCCATCCTGTACATATCTACCTAACTCCTCCTAGGAACCCTGTCTCCTCACTCTCCAAATGGCTATTTTCACCACTCAGTACCCAGTTTGCCGACGTCTACAATATTCCGCTTCTCATCATCAAAGAAGATCATCTGGGAGAAAGGAACTCCAGTCTTCTGCTGCAACCTGTGCAAGACAGGGCAGGGGGTGACCATGCTGGCTTCTTTGCTCCTCCCGCCTCTCTGGTCTTGTCTCTCCCTGCTTCTCCCCTTCTCCCCACAAACCTCTTAAAGTGTGTGACTTTGCTGCCTGGATAGATTTCCCGATGAACAAAGTATCTGACAAGGTCAAAGAGCTCCAGCAGCTGGTTGGCCCCTTCAATCTCACTTGTCCTGCAAAAAGGTGTAGAAGATGAGATCAGGAGAGTGGAGGGCCAGGGCTGCAAGTGAAGTTATGTATAACCGGGAGAAATAACTTGCTGTATTCCGGGATGGGTAGGCATCCTCGGCCCTTATTCAGCTCCATATCCTTCCTGTCTGACACAGGTGGCTCTGAGCCAAGGTTTAATAAAAGACACAGGAGAGGGTACAATTAGAAAAATACGCAAGTATTTGCAAACGTGCACCGCCGAAATTTCTGTAGCCAAGGGGTTACACGAGAAGTCTCCTCACGCACGCATCTCTCAGCATTCAACTGAGTTTTTTTTCAGTCGCTGTTCTTACCGTGAAGCGGCCGCGACGGGCACCCCAAGGCCTTGCAGTCGTTCCAGGACCTCAGACACCTCTGGGTACAGTCGGACGGCCTGGCCCAGCCTATCTCGTACAGTTCCATCACTGGAGAGGACGAGAGTGCGCTCAGCGCCGGCCGCCCCACCGGGCGCGTCCCCCCAGCCCTGCCTCACCTGCCCTTGTGGAACGGGGGGTCTACGTGCGTGTCCACCCAGAATGGCCAGAGCGTGTAATCTGCGAGAGGAAGGGGGGCGTTCAGCTTTGGAGGGCGCAGGGCCTCGAGAGCGGCAACTGGGGTTTGGGAAAGGAGAGCGCCCTACAAAATTGCCCCCAGTCGGGCCCTCACCCAGGTCGAAGACCACAAGCTTCGGGAGCCCAGCCATGGCCCGGGCCGCAGGCTACGCTACAGATGCGGAGCTTGCCCGGGGCCACAGAGAGCTCGCTGCGCTCCCGCGGCTAGGAGGCCGCCCCGCCGGCCTGAGAGACCCGGCGGCTAGAGCGCCGCCACGCCTCGCTGGGGCTGTAGCCTGAAGACCGCGCAAGAGCGCCTTCTGATGGTGGAGGAGGGAAAAGACTACAGCAAGTGCCAGGGCGACAGCGCGCAGGACCACATTGGTCCTCAGGTCTCTCCAAGGGATCTTCTTCCTTACTTCTCCACTCCACCCAGCCTCGCCATTCTACTAGACTAGAGAAGCCAGGGAAGGGAAGCCCTTTCTTTTGGCCCCCTCTCATCCTATCTTACCAATTGAGGCCTAAGTGATGTATCACAGCTTGGGTCACTCCTCATGCACCCTTTCCCCCTCTCAGCCTCTCCATAGTGTAGAACCCAGAGCCCCAGCAATATTCCAGCCATAAAGAATGCAGTGTCTGCAAAACCCTTGAGGCCTTTTTCAAACCAGGCCTAAATGTCCAGTAGGCCACAATGGGAGAGAATTCACTCTCCTGGTTTCTACCACCCATGTCAGTAGTATGCTGGTAGATGTGTACCAACCAGTTTGGGGGGAGCGACTGATTTGTATTGTCTGCCAATTTCTGTAAATACTCCTAGCATGGCCAATTTCAAGCTACCAACACGAAGTCACTTAACATTGGGTTGAGAACAGATGCCGATAATTAGCTCTCGTGCGCTGGTAAGAGCTGGCTCCAGCACACCACTGAGAAAAGGCATTCCTAGTGTCTGGTAATCCTTCAAAGGGCACATTCTCTTCCATTGTCCTACTCCTTCAGCCTGGTGTAACCGAGTGTGCACTGGGTCCATTTTGGTTTCAGTTACATTTATGCAACAGAAGAAAGATTCCAGGAGGCCAGGAAATATTTTATTGACAACCAGGGACATAGCCATAACAGAGGGAAGCACGCAGGACTGCAAACTAAAACCCAGTAACCAGCAAGGGCCCTTTGGGCCAGGAACACTGCATCCTGGGGCCTTCACAGTCTCCCACCAGTAGACACACAAGACTGGGCATCCGTGAGAGGGGGCAGCGGCTCTGGTGTCCCAGAAAGTGAGAGGATATATGATGCCTCATTACGAGCGACAGGGTAAGGAGGTAAAACGGAGGGAGGGTCCATCACTGCCTAAGACCACCTCCTCCTCGCAGAGCCAACACCAGGTGGAGGACTGAACCACCTAGGATCTTGTAATCAGCTGCTGTCTTCTCATCATTCCTGCAGGAAAAGGAGGCAGAAAAAGCATTAGAAATACCATCTAGAACAGGGTTCTCAAGTTAGGTTTCATGGATCTCTCTGGGGGTCTATGAACTCAGATAAGAAAAAAAATTACATCTTTATTTTTACTAACCCCTAATTGAAATTTGATATTTAAAACCCACAGTGGTATTAGCAACGTGGGTAACCTATCAATAATAGAAATTAGATATTTTCATGTCATATTACAACTGTTTGCAGATATCTTGAAAATATTTCAAAACTATGGTAGTTATTAGACTCACCACTAGATCTTAATGTATTAATAAAGTACATGTATTACTATATCATAAATTTGCTTTTTTAGCATTTTGATAACTGTATATCAATATAATTCAGTTTCTTTCATAATTCTATGTATTTTATGCCTGCAAAAATCTCATTCTGAGAAGGGGTTCATAGGCTTCACAAAATTGCCCAAGGGTCCAAGGCACCAAAAAACAGAGACAGGCCTGCTCCACCTGCAGTATTTGCTCCCTCATCTTCACATGAGACTGCCACGCCCTCATTCCCATTCCAAACTCACATCTGTTTACCACTGTAGATAAGCCGCTGCTGCTGGGGAGGGATTCCCTCTTTCTCTTCCACACGCTCCTTGATTCGCTCCACCTTTAGGGAACAAGTAGTCAGGGGCTGCTCAGGGGTAGGACCGGGGAAGTGGAAGGAACAAGAGCTATGCAGATAGCACAAGAGCAAAGAACTAAGTTCATCAGCATATCCAAACAAATTTACATGCAGGACGACAGGAATGAAGAGGTGGTGGGCATACGTTACCTTGTCTGTAGGTTCAATGTCAATCTCAATCTCCTTTCCAGTCAGCGTCTGAAACAGGCAAGGGTTTCATGAGTCCTAGAGCCCCATACATAATTTGTCTTCTAGGTAAAATATCCTGTCCTCGTCTCTGGGGATCTACTATCTTCTGAGAGACGCACATTCTCATCTAAGCTGCTCTGAAGAATCACAAGGCTTTGACCACACCTGTACTTGTCAAACATGTTTAGGCTGTGGACAACTTTGATAGGGCAAGATTCTGTCAACTATTTGGCCCTCTTAATCCCACAGCTCATCTCCCACCCCACTAGAATCCATGAGAATACTGGCATTCCTTTAGATGAGACAGCAATGAGAGGTGTCCTAAGGAAAGTACTCCTTCGAGTCCGAAGGACCTTGTTTTATGTATCAATGCTGGAAATGAACATTCAGGTAATTCAAAGAATTCTCAAGGACACCAGAGATCACCTCTGACCAGCTTTTTAAGGAACACTAGTATTCAACATCCTATTCTCCCATATTTTCTCCAGACTTCTACCTAAATCCTAAATTGCAGCTCTGGTCTTCTTGACCTCTTCCATAGGCTAAGGGCTGCTGATATCCGAACACAATAATTATACTGACTATAGACGTACAAATATTGTGCTCCATCCAATCTAATCTCCCACCCATCCTTGCTCTTAAAGCTCTACCCACACCGGTCTACGGTAACCCAGAGCACAAACACACATGCACGGTCTAGTTTAGGGGCATTTCTTTGCTTCTACTCTTTTCCTTGTTGCCATACCCTCCCCTACTCTTTTCAAACCTTCAAGGACCCTGCAATATAAGATGGATGACTTGCCCCCCGTGAACTTCAGCACCCATTACAGCTAGTTGTTTTAAGTGTCAAACTCTCCAACTTACACTCCAGCTTCCTAAAGGACAGAGATTGTTCTAATCTAAGCACAAAGCACAGTCAATAAGTATTTGCGGAAGGGCTAAATACACCGATGATCAGGTTATGATCACAACCAACATTTACTGAACACTTTCCAAGAGTCAGAGACTCTGCTGAGTGTCTTACATGCATCAATATGTTTAGTCCTTGCGAGTATTTATGAGATATGTACTATTACTATCAGCATTATAGATGAGGAAAATGGGGCCTGGACAGGTTAAAAACCCTATGAAGTCAAAAGGAGAGTGTGGATCCAATCACAGATTCTCTGGCCCCAGAGCCTCAACTTTTAAGTCTGTAGTCGGTACTGCTTAAGTGAGTCTGGCTGGTCTAGCTGGGACCAATATACGTCCCTGCAGTAGGTTCACAAAATAACATACGGTTTCTACTTCTGGTATTCACATAGACCAACATGAAAAAGTACTTAGGATCTGATTTCTCAACTACAAGAATGGTTCAGAACTAAGTACATTTCCAAAAATGCAAGAGTAACTCCTTTTGATTTACCTGTTGGGATGCAAAAGAATAAATTACAACAGTGCTTCTCAAGTTTCTACCCCAACCCAAGCTGATCTGTGTGAAAATTTTCAATAGTTTGTGGTAAAATGAGAAAAATAATGACAACAGTAAGATTTTCATAAAACTAAATATATTCAGATGTTTTAAAATGTCCTTTTATGAAATGACAGTGACAACATATAGTGGTTTTTTTAGGCTTTTCCCTGACAAAATGAAAAGTTTGCAATTCTGTGTTGTCCACAGATTATTTCACTTTATTGATCTTAATACTTTAAATGCAAAGACTCTTCAACAAGAGAATTCTATTTCTAGGTAAGTAAGTTGGAGGAAAAGCTTGAGCAGGTATCCAAGGACAGGTGAGGTTTACTGTAGCACCTTTCATAAAAGCAAAAGCCTAAAAATAGCCTAATGCTTATTAACAAGAAAACTATTAAAGTATGGTACATTCATAGAACGATATATTTACTATGTAACAGCTTATACACTAACATGGAAAGATCTAAAGACTGCATAATTATATATCATTTTCTATATGTAGATATACACATATGAACATGCATAGAAGAAGGGATTAAAAGTACACATATCTCTTATAATGGTGACTATCTTTGAGGAGGGGAGTAGGACTGAGGGGAGGTTTTATCAAGGGTAACTTCCTTTATCTGTGCTATTTAAATTTCTAATAAAAATATATTCCTGGGGCCGGCCCCATGGCTTAGTGGTTAAGTGCGCGCGCTCCGCTGCTGGCGGCCCGGGTTCGGATCCCAGGCGCGCACCGACGCACCACTTGTCCGGCCATGCTGAGGCCGCATCCCACATACAGCAACTAGGAGGATGTGCAACTATGACATACAACTATCTAGTGGGGCTTTGGGGAGAAAAAGGGAAAAAAAGGAGGAGGATTGGCAATAGATGTTAGCTCAGGGCCGGTCTTTCTCAGCAAAAAGAGGAGGATTGGCATGGATGTTAGCTCAGGGCTGATCTTCCTCACAAAAAAAAAAAAAAAAAAAAGACAACATGGGGATGTAATCAGCAAAATCCAAACTGTAGGAACCTCTATGGGACAAACTACCTAGTTTATTCAACAAGAAAAAATGGGGAAAAGGGGGAATTACAGATTTAAAGAGGCTTAAAATACATATCAACCAACTGCAATGTATGATCTTACTTGGATCCAGATTCAAACAAACTTCAAAAAACAAATGAGACAATAGGGTAAATTTGATGGTAGTAAGAAATCATTCTTAATTTTTTAGGTGTGATAATTATAGTTACATTAGGAAAAAAAGGGTCCTTTTTTACAGATAAATACTGAAATATGTACGAATAATCTATGCTGTGCTGTCTGGGATTTGCTTCATAAAATATCAGCTAAGGAGAGCTGGCAAATATAAATAAAATAAGACTGGCCATGAGGTGACAGTTTTTGAAGCTGGTAAAGGGTGCATTATGTCCTTCTCTCTGGTGTTGTATATGTTTGAAATCGTCCATAATTAAAGTTGTTTTTAAAGTAATTGAACAATTTTTAGAAGATACTCTTGATACGTCATACTGAGTTTCTTCCCTCAAATCTGGTCATTGTGACCTGGGAATACATGCAATGCTAGTTAACAACTCTATGATAAACCTAAGCCCAACACACTGCTTTAGGCACTGGAGGGGATATAAGAGAAATTAAGAGATCCAGCCCTTGCCAAGAATCTTTTTCAAGCGAAGATTTATAACCAAGAAACAATGAGACATACAATTAACAGAACAAACCAATACACAAGGAAGTGTCATACGAATATTACTGTCCAAATACAGGGTGGAATGACACAGTGCTATGGAGAGTGAAAACCAATGCTGATTAATTTAAACCTGCATGAGACAACATTTCACACTCCTCATAATACCTAAAATAAAAATGGCTGACATGACTACAAGTTAGCAAGGGTGGAGAGCAGCTGGAATGCTCATTCACTGCAGGTGGGAATGCAAAATGGTACAACCACTTGGAGAACTGTTTGGCAGTTTCTTGGAAAGTTACATAAATCTACCATGTGACCCAGTAATTCCATTCCTAGGTATTTATCCAAAGGACATGAAAAGATGTTCAAAAGAAGACCCGTATAACAATGTTCATAGGAGCCTAACTCATAATAGCCAGAAACTGGCAACAACTCAAACGTCCAACAACAGGAGAATGAATAAACAAATTGTGACACAGTCATCCAACGGACTACTACTCAGTTATAAGAAGGAACTACAGCTACAGCTCCACAACTATCACAATAGACATACAATAGACATAATGGTGAGTCAAAGAAACTAGACACAAAAATTATATATTGTATAATTCCATTTATATGACGTTCTAAAACAAGCACAACTAACCTATGGAACTTTCAGAGGATGGGGTGAAGAAGATCTTCCAGATCTTGTGGTTACATGAGTGTATATTGTTGTTAAAAACTCATTGAACCGAACCCTTAACAACTTTGTGTTTTATTCTTTAACAAAAACGTGAATGAGAAAACTGGGGCTTAGACAGTAAGGACAGTTGCCCAAAGTAATCTGCTAAGAGGGTATCAATGCAGGATCTAAGGATAGAATATGATGAAAAAGAAGTTTAAAGAAGACCTGTACCCTATGATTTTGTACACCATGTCTTGGTTTGGACTCTAAACTTTAGAGGGTGTGGTGGTAGGAAAACCTGGTTGGAGGTATCACAGAGAAATACAGACATAAGTTAGTGAGACCCCAGACTAGAATAACGGTAACAGAATGGAACGAAAATCAAGCAGAAAGAGGTATCAAAGGAAAAATTAGGTTCTATAAGAGAACAATGACTCTAAAGAACTGGGTTCCAGACACCTGGTAGACTCATGGGGTCAATATATGAGATGAGTATTCGGAAGATGGCTTAAGGTAGAAGACAATGTATTTGATTTCAGAAAGACAGAGATGAGGTTATCAAGAGCAGCTTTACATCAAGAGGGATTTACTTGTAAAGGACCGCAGAAAGATATATGGAAGAAGTCAGCTACACGGAGATGACAGTTGAAAAATGAATAATTCACAAAGGAATCCTCCTAATAAAACCTATCATTTGTATAAGAATTAACAGCTAACTAATTACTCTCATATGTATTTAACATATAAAGAAATGCAGCAAACAAAGAAAGAGAGAGATGGAAGACATAGAAATCTGTTTGAAGGCAGAAAGGAAAGTGTTTTGGGAAAGGAGACTGAATTTCAGAGAAATACTAAATAAAAACAGATTCAAAGAAAGAGACAAAATGTAGAACCTTGCTACTCAAAGTGTAGTCCCCAGACAAGCAGCATCAGCATCACCTGGGAGCATGTTGGAAACGCCAGAATCTCAGGTTCCATCCCAGACCCACTGAATTAGAATCAGCGTTTTAACAAGATCCCCTGGTGACTCTTATGCACTTTTCAGGTGAGAAGCTCATCTAGCATACAGGATTTTTTAAACTGCAGGTCTCAACCCATCATTGGGCTATGAAATCAACTTTGAATAGAATTGAAAATATCAGAGCATATCACACATGGTAAGTTTTTTGTGTCTGTACGGGGCACTAAATTTCTTAGTGTAGGTTGAAATAAAAAAAAGTTTACAAAACATTGAACCGAAGTATAGTAATAACTTCTTTGGACTGAGAGAGGACTAGGAGGACATGAGAAATCAAATGCATTGAAAAAATAAAAGCATTCATCTGCTAGTGTTTCTCAAACTTTTTTGACAGTGACCCACACTAAAAAATACATAGGAACTAGTAACACATACATGTAATATACATATAAAATGAAAACAAAAATTTCACAAAACAATACTCTTACGCAGCAGTATACCTTGATATTTCTATTTTCTTTTTTTCTTTTTAATGTTGCTTGTGACTCCCTGACCCATTAAACTGATTTCACAATTACTGACTCTTTTATAAGTCACTACTCAAGTCTGAAAAACAATGACCTTTAACATACATGCTGTTTGGCCTCAGTCCTTAGTGAAGAGGTGGTCTGGAAAGACTGAAGAGGTTAAGGATGGCTATTATGTATGGTAAATACACTAAGGAGCTGATGAAAGAAGATAGACTGACTTAGCAGTAAAAAGGCCAAACTACTGTTGCACTGCATCAATTGTTAGTTTTTGACTCTCTGTCTGAAGGTACAGAAGAGGAAACAGCAGACAGGACTAATGACGGCTGGGAATTGATGATGAAGAACCACGGGAGTAGAGAGGTGCAGATGAAGGAAATACTGCTAGTACCAAGAACCAGGGCACTGATAACTAACCTGCCTCAGTCAAGGAAGTGAGGCTGGTCCAGGATGCCCGGCTCAGAAAGGCAGGTGCCGACTGAACACACTCCCAGCTTTGGTTCCTGAAGGCCGGCTGAGATACTACACCTTGGCCACAACCAGCAAAGGCTTACAGGCTAGCCCCCGGGAGGCCCTCGGTTCCCCAAGCTAACGTTTTTGTGCCATGCTCGGAGGCAGCCTATGTTAGCGGCTAGGAGAAGCAGGTACCCTGGACGTGATGAATGGAGATCAGAGCCCATCCCAAGAATCTGCAAGAGCGGGGAGCCGAGCTGCTGCTAGGCCTTCTCTATGACCGCGGGGGTTCGAATACAGCGAGACCTTGGACAAAGGCGGCCTCCTTCTGGGTCATGGCAGAGTTCTGGCGAGAAAGCAGGAATGGTAGACACCCCGGGGTCGTCAGGCTGGGCCTGCCCTCAGCTCTCACAGCCCTTTTGGGTCCCCCTACTTCCCATCACTCCTCGCGCGGAGCCCCGAGGCTGTCAGCGCCCTCCAGGCTTGGGAAAGGCGTGGTTTCCCTTCTCCCGCAAGGCACAGCGGCCAGCCCAGTACCACTGCGTCTTGGCAAGGCTGGAGGTGCTCCCACCTTCACTTTAATTAGCATCTTCTTCCCAGTTTGGGGCTGCACGCAGATAAGCCGCTGCTTCTGCCGCTGCAGTCACCGCTGCCGCTCCCCAGCACTCCGCCTGTGGCAGTCACGTCTGCTTCCGGGTCACTGTCTGACTCCACCCGCTTCTTTCCACGGGGTTCCCAAAAGGCTCAGGGATGCTCCCGCGTTTCCTCTCGGTGGCGTCGTAAATGAAAACAAGGCGACAAGCTTAGTTACAGCAGAGATGACGCGTCTGCGCTTCTGACAATCCCTACAAGCCCGGGCTAGTGGAACGCGGGAGCGGGACGAACTACTTCTCCCATCATGCCGGGGGGGGGGGGGCAGCTCCGCGCGTTTCACCCTGGGAGTTGTAGTCTCCCGCCCCTCCAAGTGGCGACCGCAACGTTGAGAATCCAACGACAACCTCAGTATGTGAACTCTGTTACCCAGGAGGCCTCGCACCGGTCCGCTGAAGCTGGAGTTCCCGTGTTAATGGTTCCCGCCGGCAATCCGCGGAACCTGTTGGCGTGGCCCACAAGGTTCAGCGGGGCTGCTAGAGGCTAGTTGCTAAGCAAGGGGAGCTTCTTCGGTCAACTGCCACTTGGGTCACGGCGATAGGAAGTGAGTACCCCTGTTCCGGAAGCTGGTTATGGGACCCCCCAACCCCCATTCCTTTTCGCCCCCAAATCAGCCTCTTACTCCAAATTGCTCTTTGCACGGGCGGGAGACTGAAGAGTAGTGGGGGTAAAGAATGCACCTTTTTAGAGTCACTCGCGACTCCATCCCAATTCTTCTCCCCAACAAATAGTACCTAGGAGGGAGACACGAGAGTAACTGCAACCACGGGACGGGTCAAAGGTGACAGTCTTCAGGGACCGTGCCTCGACCAATGCCCCGACCTTCCACAATTTAAGCGAGGAGACAGATGAGCCCTGCCGCTAACCGTAACAGGGCATTAAGGCCTGCTACTGGTTCAGCTCTCTTCTCCTGACTTTTCCTACTTTCCAGTCCCCAGATTCGTCACTACCCCGAGGCCCCCGCTATGCCTCACATCGATAACGACGTCAAACTGGCCTTCCAGGATGTCCTGTTGAGGCCCAAACGCAGTACCCTTAAGTCTCGAAGTGAGGTGAGCCGGCTTCCCTAGTTCCGCTTTCTTGACCCCAAGTTCCTGGTGGGCCAGGACTGAGAAAGATTCCTAGCTCTTGTCCTCGTGCAATACTTGTTTTTTGGATGAAAGTATTAGAAAACAAAATTCAACGGAGTAAATTTGAAGATCTAATTGACTTCATTAAACGATTTATGAACTGGGCAGCATCCTATGTAGCAACTAGAAGGGAGCTCCAAGGGGTTGTACAAAATGGAAAATTTTCATAGGAAGCGGGGTGGGGAAACGGAGTTATTAACAAAATAAAAAGAACAGTTATTTTGGGCTGGGACATCTTCTTTTGGGGGTGGAAAGGGTACTGGCATGGGTTTTATCACGCAGATTACCCTAGTTCCTAGTTCAACTTGGGAAATTTCAGATTGACTGTTTAAAGGTCACATTCTTGGGAGGGGCTGAAACTGTAATTAAGTCTTTGCAGTTGTGGGGGCCATTATGGGCCTCTTTTTTTTTTTTAACAAATGAAATGCCCAGTTTCCTCTTTATATCTGCAGGTGGATCTCACAAGATCCTTTTCATTTCGGAACTCAAAGCAGATGTACACCGGGATCCCCATTATTGCCTCCAATATGGACACTGTGGGCACCTTTGAGATGGCCAAGGTTCTCTGTAAGGTAGGACTTCCCTCATGCCCCTTCCTCAATGGTGTCCAGTTATATGGGCAACGGTGTCCAGTTAGATGAGGTATCTGCATCCCCATCCCCATCCCAGTCAACTCTCTGGCAATTAGCAGTCAGGATGCTCCGATTTACTATTTTCTCCAGTACTAAGGTCCCTTTATCTGATAAGTTCAAAGGGCCACCTGAGTTAGTGATATTCAAGGCTAAGTTCTGTCCCCATTTTTCTGATATAGGAACAGAACTTTCCCTTTTCTCCTGTCCAGCAGTTTATACATCCTGCCAACTTTTCCCACCACCCAGGTCACCTCTTCCAAATCACAAGCATCCCTCCAGTTACACCATTGTTAGGACACTAAGCATTCACAGTTTTAGTCCAGAAACTAAATACAGTTTGAGCATTCAAAAATTCCTAACTAGAAGATCCTAGAGAGAAGATGCTTGTTGATTTTCTTTTATGCCTGCTATCATTTTTTTTTTAACCTTCTTTTTTATTTTGAGTCCTAGGTTCCTGGGAGTTTCTGGGATATGCTCAAAATGGAATGTCTTTTTCGTATATACAGGTTATTCTTCACTTTCAAAATGGAAGATGCTGCTTTTGTCAGTAATATTACCTGCCTCTATACTTGTAGCTGACAATGTAGTTAACTCTGGGCACTCTGAGAACATATGCACTCTTCTGGTGAATCCATGTAGCCCTGGTTGATGGATTCTGCTGCTGCTTGTGACTATGTTAGCCTTAAGGACTCCATCTCCCTTTCTCTGTTTTTTGATTGCTGTAAGTCTTTGCGGAATGTCTGCTGTCATTTCTCTGAGTTAATAGTTGTGCAGTTTTAGTACTGTTTTGCTGTTGCCATTCACTGACTGCTTAGGAATCCTGCTGTTGCCCGTTGCCTGCCTGCCCACCTGAGTTGAATGGTCAATCTGACTTCAGCATTAACAGACGTGCCGTAATACAGGAACCTTGTTGGGACTGTCTTGATGCTTTATGTTGAGACTGGCTTTTCAGTACTGCTGATGAGTGCTAAAGAAATCAGATTTTAGAGATAGAGCTAAGTCTCCCAGTAATAATAAAAAGGTTGGATATAAGCATCTTTTTCTAGATCTCTACCTTGGTATGTAATTGGATGTGCTCATCATCCACACTATACCAGTATGTCTCCTGGGTCTGCTGACCTCCTGGAGTGGTTTTTCTTTCTGTCAGCATAGTGATGGCAGAGTGTTGCTGAGAAAGTAGAATTCAATACTGGTTTTAGCTAGGTCATGTTGATGATGATCTCTGAGTGAGTATAGCAATCACGCTTCCTTACTGCTGGTTGATACGTGACTTCCTTGGATTTCTTGTCAGTTGCAAGATTTGTGCCGTCTCTCGTGTGTTTGCATGTCTGCACTTTTAAAGTACAAACATCAGCATTCACAGTGGCTTTTGAATGCCTTTCTCAAAGTATCGGGATATTATTTGCAATTTGTTGAGCTAGGGAATACAAATCTGATGAGTCATTATATCCTTGAACTTGGTTGCCTGAAATAGACTGAATGACATAGACTTTTCAAGTTGGTGCATATCTCAAGAAAATTGGTCCTTTACTCCAGTGGAGATGGAGTAAGGATGGGGTTGCACCTTATTGGCTCTGTTAACCTTAAGGCCTTACCTTTTGTGAGCATTTAGACTCACTGGATTACTGCTGGTAAATGGACCAGAAAATACCAAAAATAGGTTAGCTCAGTACTAGATTACTATAGGAGGAGGGGCGGAGTCAGTGCAGGCAGACACTGGCTCCATCCAGCCTCTTCATGGTTCTTATCTACTGCTTTTCCCACTGCACCAACAGCTTGTCCTTGTCACCTTGTAAGTCAGAAGCACTGTATGTGCTGGCAAGTGAAATCCAATCTAGATGACAGTACTTTGGTGGGATCGTCTGATAAGTACTAGCTTATGGTAAAAAGCCCTACTGGGATTTGTAGGGACAAAATCCCTACAAACTAAAAATCCCAGCTCAACCACTGACTTCTTCAAGTTGCTCTTTCCAGGCTTCCGTCCTTTTCTCCCTCAGATAGAATAGTATAAAGGTCTATTTCTAGAAAAAAGAACCCTAATAAAGTTCTCTTCTTTTTGATGCCTCTTTCTTCTCTCCAGTTCTCCCTCTTCACTGCTGTCCATAAACACTACAGCCTCAAGCAGTGGAAAGAGTTTGCTAGCCAGAATCCTGACTGTCTTGAGGTAACACTGGCCCTCCCCAATCCCTTCCTTGTCCGTTTTCCAGGAATCTTTCTTTGGCTTCCTGGGGACAAACCCTCACCTCCCCTCCCCTGCTGGCTGCTCACCAACTCAATTCTGACATGCCAATGGCCCTGTTTCTCCCACAGCATCTGGCTGCCAGCGCAGGCTCTTCTGACTTTGAGCAGCTGGAACAGATCCTGGAAGCTATTCCCCAGGTGAAATATATATGCCTGGACGTGGCAAATGGCTACTCTGAACACTTTGTTGAATTTGTAAAGAATGTGCGGAAGCGCTTCCCTGAACACACCATCATGGTATGTTTCTTTCCCCCTGTAGTTGGTACTTTGCTCTCCTTCCACTCTTCCCTGCCACGCCATTTTGTTACATCAGTTCATTTCTCTGCTGCATTATGATTTTACTAGTCCACTTAATCGTGTTACCGGTGATTATCCATGGTTCCACGCTTAAAATGTTTATTTATCGGTCAATGCAGTTATCTCACCGTTGATAGAGAGTCTTTGTAAATCCAGTGCCCCTGACATCACTCACCAAACCGTGATGGAACATCTGTGTTGTTCATACCTGTGGTCCATATATACCTGCCCACTGAAATGGACATGGTACTACAATCGTATTAAAGGGGTCACCTGAAATGATGTTTTATTTTTGTACAAGCTTAAAGGAGTGATGACAAGGCCTCATTTTCTTCACAGCATTGAGGGAGTCTCTTTGTTCTGTCCATCAAAAGCAAATACAGCTGTGCAGATGGGTAATTAGCCTACATTACCATGTCTTCCTCCCTTCCCTGAAGCCACAGAGGTTTTATGACATAACAGCTTAAGGACAGGCTGTGTTTGGGTCTCTTGGCAGGAAGAGGGAGATAAATCGGCTGTAAATCAGATTTGAGCTTGGTCCAGTCAGACCCCAGGTTTACCCTGGTGCAACAGTGACACTGGCCACTCAGCCCCTTACCTTAGCTTGGGAAGCAGGATCCTTTGAAGTAACTAGTCTAAAAGCCCTTAGAGGGTGCAGTAGAGGGAGCCCAGGCACCCTTTTTTGTAATGATGTTGGAAGGTCATGGTCCAGGCATACTATCTATGAGAGCATGCAACCTCCTCTCTATTTGTGACCCTAAGAATGCTCTGTTTTGACTGTTCTCTCAGGCAGGGAATGTGGTAACAGGCGAGATGGTGGAAGAGCTGATCCTCACTGGGGCCGACATCATCAAAGTGGGAATCGGACCAGGTAAGCTGGTTCACTGGGGGCCCCTGGCTACCCCTTTGGTGGCAAACACCTGTGGAGCACTTCCCTCTCATCCTTGTCACGTTCTTCTCAGGCTCTGTGTGTACCACTCGGAAGAAAACTGGAGTGGGGTACCCACAGCTCAGTGCGGTGATGGAGTGTGCAGATGCTGCTCACGGCCTCAAAGGCCACATCATTTCAGTAAGGCCAAGGGCAGGGTCGGATGAGAGGCTGCCAAACCTCTGGGTTTTCTGCCAGGTCTGGAGGCTCTGGTAGAGGTGGATCAGGACTCGGGGCTCCTGTCAGCTTTGAGGTGGACCATTGGGACATTGCTGAGAGGGCTTGGGAAATCCATGCTCTCTCTTTCATAGTGTTCCTTCCTTTGCAGGATGGAGGCTGTACCTGTCCTGGGGATGTGGCCAAGGCTTTCGGTAAGGACGTTGGGAGGGCACGGAAGGAGGATCCTGTAGAAGAGGATGAGTCACCTCTGATGGTCTAGGATCAGGCTAGGAAAGGTGGAGAGAGCTGTTCAGATTCTTTCATAATATGAACTAGTGACCCTGAAACCTGTGGTGTCACCTGGGGCAAGCCAGCAGGGGAAATCCTGCAACTTTGATATGGACTCTCAAAGTGTGGGCCAGGACCATAGGCACTGTCCCCTGGACTGTTGGACAACATAGATTCCTGACCTACAGTCAGGCTCTGGGGTGTGGGGCTGCACACCTGCATTTTCACAGCCTCCCAGGTGGTTCTTGCTCACACTAAAGTTGGAGACCTTTGCTCTTGGGACACTTAAAGTGAGTCTTGTTTAGCTGGGCACAGTAAAAAGAAATGACCAGAAAATGGCAAAAACAGCAAAAAGGAGAGAGCAAAAGGCCAGGCAGGGAATCTCCAGAGGATCTTTTTAAATTCTTAGGGACGTCAGGCCCACTGAGTAGAGGCCAGGGCAGAGCAGGCCTATGTGGGTTATGGGCCAGCTAGGGAAACAAAACCAAGATGCTGGAATCACTGTCAAGACTCAAAATTTGGCATGAGTTTCTTCTGAGGGTGGGTGGGTAGGCATGTGGGCACCTGGGTCGGATTCATCTCTTTCCCCCCTCATTGATGCTGGCAGGGGCAGGGGCTGACTTCGTGATGCTGGGTGGCATGCTGGCTGGGCACAGCGAGTCAGGTGGTGAGCTCATCGAGAGAGATGGCAAGAAGTACAAGCTCTTCTACGGAATGAGTTCTGAAACGGCCATGAAGAAGTACGCTGGGACTGTGGCTGAGTACAGGTACGAGTCGGGGGCCGGGAACTGAGGGGTCTTGGCAAGTGTGACTAAGTAGGGTGGTGGCAGAACTGATGGCTGCTGGGAGATGCATGGTACTGTTCTTGGGAGAGAGGTGGTGAACCGGGCCTAGATGCTAGAGACTGGGGAAGAGTCACTGGGCTTAAGGAATCCAAAAAGAAAAGGTAAAAAAGTTTTTCCTCTTCTAAGGGCGTCAGAGGGAAAGACGGTGCAGGTGCCCTTTAGAGGGGATGTGAAATATACGGTGCAAGATATCCTTGGAGGCATCCGCTCCACATGTACCTACGTGGGAGCAGCTAAGCTGAAGGAGCTGAGCCGGAGAACTACCTTCATCCGTGTCACCCAGCAGGGGAATCCAGTCTTCAGTGACGAGGGCTAGACCTTGCAGTTCTGCCCTCCCAAGGCACCAGCACCTTACCACAGGGCTCCTGTGGCCTCTGTACCCATCCCACCTACTATGGCTATTTATTATTACTTGGTCATTTCCTATTGTCTCACTCCTGAGGGCTCCTGCAGTAATTCTGTACTTCTCTGTCTGCACACACAGAATGCCCAGGGCATTTACTAGAAAGGAAGCAAGGAAGGCAGGCTGAGAAAATAAGGGAAGATAATCAAATGGGAATCTGGGGACCTAGCATTCTTAAGATTATTGAAAGGAAAAGATGCTGATTGCTACATAAGTGTTTTATATGGCCTTGGTCTGGAAGCCGGAAGGCTTTTAGAATCATGTTTTGTTAATTAGCTTCATTAAATAGGATCTCTGAATGTCTAAAAAACTTAGAAGTAGTATTTACATATTTTAAATACCTCAATAGGGGCCGGCCTGGTGGCGCAAGTGGTTAAATGCGCGCGCTCCGCTGCGGCGGCCCGGGGTTCGCTAGTTCGGATCCCGGGCGCACACCGACGCACTGCTTGGCAAGCCATGCTGTGGCAGCGTCCCATATCAAGTGGAGGAAGATGGGCACGGATGTTAGCCCAGAGCCAGTCTTCCTCAGCAAAAAAAGAGGAGGATTGGCAGATGTTAGCTCAGGGCTAATCTTGCTCACAAAAAACAAAAAAAAAAAGATAAATACCTCAATAAAGAGAGATCCCAATGACTGTAAAGAGATTCTGGGGCTTTCTGCACAAGGCTGGCATCTGGGTGCTGCTCCAGGGCAAGTGGAGGTAGAGTTGGCACTGACCCAGTGGAGGATCTCCATTCTAGTGCCACCACCCCCAGGTAACTGGCAGCATGAGAATTTACAAAGTATATTCTGGCATCAGGACACAGATATGTTCTGAATAGCAAAAGGAAATTGTTCTTCCAGGCTCTCAGCCCTGGTAACCCTTCTGGGCACATCTGAAGAACACTTTCCAAGGGAAGTAAAAAGGCCAAGGGATTCTTCCAGCTCTGGAGAGGCTGGTACTGTTTTTAAGGAATGACCTACACTGACCTTAAGTCTTAATTCGGGCCAGCCCCGTGGCATAGTGGTTAAGTGCACGTGCTCCGCTGCTGGCGGCCCGGGTTTAGATCCCGGGTGTGCACCGATGCACCGCTTGTTAGGCCATGCTGTGGCGTGTCCCACATAAAATGGAGGAAGATGGGCATGGATGTTAGCCCAGGGCCAGTCTTCCTCAGCAAAAAGAGGAGGATTGGCATGCATATTAGCTCAGGGCTGACCTTCCTCACAAAAAAAAAAAAGAAGTCTTAATTCCCCTCACTCACACCAAGACAGTGTTTTAACAAATCCAAAGTTTAATGATCAAGCATTAAAAAGTAATTTTAGCAATGTAGTCAAGCTTGGACTTCCACTTTATTCCCACTAAACTGCGTGTACAGCTGAGGAGGAAGGAGAGAACAGAGTGCAGAAGGCATTCCAGTCCTATCAGAGGAGTCTAGAGCTGTCTGCATGGTCATGGGAAGGGACAGACACGGCACTGGGGCCTAAGGGGGGAGGTATTCACAGAAGGTGGGGATCAGGGTGTCCAACTTTGTCTTCTGATAGTTATCCAGAGACTCCTGCAGAAAAGGGAGTGGGGAGATCCTATCATCATCTGAAACTATCCCCTGAGCCCTCTATATTCTGGAGCATGTAGGTTTCTCTGTCTTATTCTGCCCATCACCTTCTCCAGCTTTCTCTTCCTTCCTACTCACCCTTCCTTCCCTCTGGCCATTTTCTTCCTCATCAGAGTCCAAAACCAAGTCCCCTATGGTAATGACAGAGCTGCACAGAGATGGAGGACCCACTGCAGGAAGGAAACCAGAGACAAAGCACTCTTCTAGGGGAACAGAGGCCCTCAGGAGCCCCCAAGAGAGAAGGCTGTCTGACCCAATCCTGACTCAAAATACCTACCTGGCTTCCTGGCCCTAGGAGGTGATAATGACAATCTCAGGGGGTCCATGGGGCAATCCAAGCAATTCCTGAGGTGGGAGCAAGCAAAGAAGACAGAGTGAAGGGAAAGCAGGCAAGGAGTGTGCTGCTAGTAGGGAGAAGCAACTGATCTACTCACTCCTTTTGCTCCGAGGCAGACAAGTCAACTGAGTTCTCCTTCAGAGCCCTTCCCCCCAGGGTCTGGGATGCATTCTTAGGCTTTCCCGTAGAGGCTGCTCTTGTGCCCACAGCACCTGCTGGATCTGCCATGTGTGTCCCATATTTTTTCTGGTCCTCAGGCTTAGATATGACCTGGGTTGGTGAACCCAGATTCCTAAAGGGGAACAGCATGACTGTGGGGCGTTCCTTATGGCCTCCCCTAGTGGATGCCCATTGGGACTGGATTCGTCGTCGGCCTAGAGGGGCCAGATTGAAGTGGTGGCCAGCCAAAGGTTCTGGGTGCTTCCTTGACGCTGGTCCCTGAGGAAGGTATGGGCCAGGCCTGGTTTCTGGCAGAGGATCATGGAGTGCTAGTCTTGGTTGCTGAGGAGGACTCTGCTCCATGGGCTCTGTCACGTTCACTGAATCAGCATCAGAGCACTCTGAAAAAGAAAACGGAACTCCTTATAAAGAGAACAGATGTTAACACATCAACTTAGTCTGGTTTCTGCCTCAGGCCCAGGTAACCCTTCCAATGGGCTGTCTCAAAAAGTCTTGGGCTAAACACTCGACCCCAAATTCCTAGTTCACCCAGATGGTCCTGGTACCTGAAAGTGGCCATCCCATGTCCACACCATATTGGCTCAAAGCAAAAGAAGAAGTGATAGAAACTCCAGGCTGCATCCAACTCAGCACATCCTGAAGCTGTGGGCAGGGAAAGAGGCATGAAGACCGCAGTCCTTAATACCACCCCGCACTCTGCCCTGATGTGTTCTGCCCCAACAAAACCTGTTGTGCCTCCAGGGGGGGAAGTGCTTTTTCCATCTGACACAAGTACTCAAAAAATAGCTTTTCCATGGCAGCCAGAAACGGTTCCCCATACTCTTGCTCAAGCTCCTGCAGGGGGGAAGGAAGCTGGTCAGAAGAGGACCAGAGAAAACGGCCACATCATAGCTTCCAAACCAGCCAGTCTCACCTGCAGCTTCGAAGCCAGGTCCACAGGAGCCTCTGCCAGCTGCTTCACCTGCTGGCGAAAGGTTTCCTCTGCCTCTGAGATCTTCTTCAGATCTTGCTTTGTCTGTTGAGGGTAAGGCAGGCCGACAAATTAGGGGCACCAGGATCCAGTGGTTGGGAGGGGCAGCAACTTTGCACCGACTGTTATTTGGGGTTAGGGCTTGTTCCAGGGATTACTCACAGTTTTGGGGTCCCGCAGTACAGGTCCAGGCTCTGGGAAGTGGTGATACAGGGCATTCAGAACCTGGGCCCAAGGCCGGCCCTGCAGGATCAGCTCCACCACCACCTGTGAAGGCTCCTGAGCTCAGAATACCCACTTCAGGGCAAGCTGCCTTTTTCCACCGGTCCCACCCTCCACCCCAAAGCTGTCGGCCCTTGGCAGGTCCTCCCGTCGCGCCCTTTTCCCCTCTTCCAGGTCCTACTGGCTCCAATACCTTAGCCTTTAGGCCCATACACAGGCGTTCATGGTGCCGATAGCGAACCAAGCCAGGGGCAGCAGCGCGCAGGGCTCGCAGAAACTCCAACACTTGCGGAAACTGCTCCACGCAGCGTCGGCGAACCACCTGCCAGGTGGCCGCGGCTGCCAAGCGCAGAGCTGCGGGACCGGCCCCCGGGGGCGTGGCCATGGCCGGCGGGCTCAGCCCCAGGGGCAGTCCCTTTGGGTTCTCTCCTCCGCGGCGACGCTGCGGGACTCCTCCTAAGGCCGGGGCTGCCGGCGGCCCTCAGCGGCCCCGCTATTTCGATCTGCTTCGGATCTTTCGCGATCTGACTCAGCGCCCTTCCCTAGGCCACCAGAATGCTGGAGGTCTTCCCCAACTCGGGTTGGAGCCTGAGTGGGGAAGCTGGCCGGCTCCAATGGCACCGGGCCGCCCTCCTCTAAACGCCGCCGCCGCTGTCTCGAAGCCGAGGGCTACCTCGCTTCCGGCTCCGCGACCAGCTTCCCAACTTCCCTGCCCCGGAAAAGGGCGGTAATGGAGAGCCAATGAGCCGCGAGACCAGGGAACGTGAGGTCGCGTCATAAGGCCCCGCCCAGGCAGATCCGGCGTCGCCCCGCCCCCTCCGTCGTCTGTCACCGCGGTCTGCTGCTAGGCCGTGGGGACGCCCATGCGGGCACTCCCGGCCCCTGCCGTTCTCCTCGGAGCCTGCAGAGCAGTCACATCACCCTCTGAAGCCTGACTGCCCAGTCTGCAAGGCGAGGATCGTGCCGCTTCCCCTCTCCGTGGTCTTCACCCGCTGAAGTACGGGTTCTGAAATCCCGGCCCCACACCAGCGCCGGCGAAGCCTTCACCGGCGGCGCGCCGCTTCCAGTAAGAATTTTCAGCTGTTCCTCTTACTGAACAGGAGAGGGCGCCCGCCTCTAAAAAATACAAAGTTTGAAAGATCAGATTGTTACCCTGGTTTTTCTTTGGATGGTGAGACTGTAGGTAATTTTTGTAGTTTTCTGTGTTTGAGATGTTCTTTTTTTTTTGCATCGTGTAGTTTTTAAATAAAAAATAGTTTTCTTTTTCGAATTTCTGTTGTATGCTTACTCCAGTCAGCCCCATAATGTAATTGACGGTTTTGCTCGTTTATCTCCTTGCCACCCTTCCCGGTGTCTCTCTTTATTTCCATCGCCAAGTGCGTACGGAACCGGGCACACAGTGTATATTCTTTGTTGGTTGAATGAATTACCCGCCCGGACTACCTTACAGGGATCTAGTGAAACTACCCTCTCCTTGGGCCATCTCCTTTCCTAGAGATGATGGCTTCCTTATCTCTCCTTGTCTCCATCCAAGGTCAGTCTTCTGAGATGATCCGCACATTCAGCTGCCCGCGGGACATCTAGCTGGGGGTCCCAAAGTACCCAAATTAGACATGTATGAAATTCTAGTTCTTTTTCTTTTTTATTTTACCTTTATTTTCTTTAAAGATCTTCCTTTATGTAGATCTGAGTTTCTGACCTATATCCTTTTCCTTTTTTCTAAAGAATTTCTTTTGACATGTCTTGCAAGTCAGGTCTCCTGGTGACAAATTCCAATTTTTGAGAAAGTCTTTATTTGTCTTTCACTTTTGAATGATAATTCTGCTGGATACAGAAGTCTAGGTCAGTGGGCTTTTTTCCTTCAACACGTTAAATATTTCACTCGGCTCTCTTCTTGCTTGCATGCTTTCTGAAGAGAAGGCCGATGTAATTTTTATCCTTGCTCCTCTGTAGGTAAGGTTCCCCTCGCCCCAGGCTTCTTTCAAGATTTTCTCTTGTTTTTTGGTTTTCTGCAGATTGAATATGATATGTCTAGGCATAGATTTTTTTTTGTTTGTTTTTTGGTATTTATCCTGCTTGGTGTTTTCTTTTTTTTTGTAAAGGGGTTTTCTTTTTTTTATAATTTTATTTATTTATTTTTTCCCCCAAAACTCAGTAGATAGTTGTATGTCATAGCTGCACATCCTTCTAGTTGCTGTATGTGGGACGCAGCCTCAGCACGGCCAGATAAGCCGTGCGTCGGTGTGCACCCGGGATCCGAACCCGGGCCACCAGCAGCGGAGCTTGTGCACTTAACCACTAAGCCACGGGTCCGGCCCTCCTTGGTGTTTTCTGAGCTTCCTGGATCTGTGTTTGGTGTCTATCATTAACTTTGGGAAAATGCTTAGTCATTATTGCTTCAAATATTTCTTCCGTTCCTTTCTTTCTTCTCCTTCTAGTATTCTCATTATGCATATGATTTTGTAATTGTCCCCCAGTTCTTGGATATTCTCTTCTTTTTCATTTTATTTTCTCTTTGCCTTTTTTTTTTTTTTTTTTGATGAGGAAGATCAGCCCTGAGCTAACATCCATGCTAATCCTCCTCTTTTTGCTGAGGAAGACTGGCCCTGAGCTAACATCTGTGCCCATCTTCCTCTACTTTATATGGGATGCCGCCACAGCATGGCTTGCCAAGCGGTGCATCGGTGCGCGCCGGGGATCCGAACTGGCGAACCCTGGGCCGCCGCAGTGGAGCACGTGCACTTAACGGCTTGCGCCACCGGGCTGGCCCCCATAGTTGTTTTAAATTCCCGGTCTAATAATTCCAGTATCTCTGCCATGTCTGAGTCTGGTTCTGATGCTCACCCTGTCTGTTCAAACTGTTGGGTTTTTTATCTTTTAGTATGCTTTTAAATTTTTGTTTTGGAAGTCAGGTGTACTGGATAAAATGAACTGAGGTAACTAAGGCTTCAGTGTGAAGTTTTATGTTTATCTAACTAGGGGTTAGGCTGTCTTTATTGTTTGCTGTAGCTGTAGGTGTCAGAGGCTAAAAGTTCCTCTGGTGTCCTCATTATTGTCTCCCCTGTTGTCTTTGGAGTTCCCTAGAGACTTCTTAAATAAGGTCTGTGATGTGCAGTCTTTCCGTTGTATTCCCCTGTTATTATATGGGAGCTCTGCTGATGTGGTAGTAAGGTGTGGGGGGGAAGCATCCTATAATCCGATGATCAGGTCTCAGTCTTTTCGTGAGCCTGTGCCTCTGGACTGTGAGCCTCACACAGGCTTCTCAGTCCTGTCTCCCTCTCCCCCCACCAGGAGGTACGACAAGAAGGCTAGAGCAGGCTGGAGTTGGGTATTTCCCTTTCCCCAGGGCAGTTAGGCTCTGGTAGAATAGTTCCCCTGAGGACAGGCCTTGAGAAGAACAGAATGCTCTGGGTGTATTTCAACATGGCTACTATTCCTCTTTCCCTGCCAGACCCACAAGGGTTTTTTTCTCTGATCTTCACTGTGAGAACCTAGGAGAGCTCCTGGAGGTAAAACTCAGAAAAGTGAGGGGAGCCCCTAAGACTGGGCCCCTGGTGTTTTAAAGCCTCAGCTTTGTCTGCACTGAGCCTCCAGCACTTGGTGGATTCCAGTTTACGTTTTCCACCCCTGGCACTTGTTCCCACAGAGCTTTCTGCTCCTGGGCTTCTGTTTCCATGAGTTGTGATTCTCTGTGTCTGCTTGTCTGTCTCCCCAGTTTTGGGGGCAGTGGTTTGCCCCATGACCTCAAGTCTCCAATAGATGTAAGAAGAGTTACTGTTTTCAGTTTTGTTCATCTTTTTTCCTGTTGCGAGGACAGGAGTGACGACTTCCAAGCTCCTCACATGCCAGACTGAAAACTGGAAGTTATTGTCCCTTTTAAATTCTGCCCTTCCTCGTGGGCTCCGTATTTCTGTGCATGGCACCTTTCTTCACCCATGAGTCAGAAACCCAGACCACCGCCCTTAACTCTGTCCTCCTTCCTCCTCAAACGAAATCCATCACCAAGTCTAATCAGTTCTATGTCCTATAGAGCCTTCAACCCACCTCCTGTCTTTCACTCTCACTGCCTCTATCCTATTTCAGGTTCCCCTGTCTCTCACAGTGAGAAGACTCTAGTCTCCCCACCTCCAGCCCAACTCCTCTCTAATTTCTTTTCCACATTGCTTTCATCATGAATCTTGTGAAATGCAAAACAGATCCCTAACTGAAAGCTCCATCTTACTTTCAAAAGAAAGTTCAAACTCCGAAATATGGCAAAAGGATTTTTAATGATCTGGCCAAGCCTGCCTCTTCATCCACATTCCTTGCCACTTTGCACTCACCATGCACCTATATGCCAGTCCTCGTCAAACTGTTTGCATTTTCCAAATATACTGTGTTGTCACATTTCTGTGCCTTGCACCTACTGGCTGATTCCTCTGCCCTTCTTGCCTCTTGGACTTGACTTTTTCTTTTGTGGCTTATCTGATAACCACCTCCATGAAGCCCTTCGTAATTCTCTTCCCGGGGCCCTCAGCATCCTTTTATCACCACCACTGTCATGCAGAACCTGTCTTGTAAGATTGTTGTAAGGATTAAATGAATTAGTAAATAGAAAGCACTTGGAACAGTGCCTGGCTCCTAGTAAGTACTAGGTATGCGTTGACTGTATTTTGAATGTTTACATGTCTGTCACCCCCACTGAGCGGGAGCCGCTTGAGGGAAGGGCTTGTCTCTTTCTTGTACACGTATGTCACTGGTGCCTCCTGCAACACCTGGTCCATGTGTTTACAGCTCATATGAACAGCTCCTTTAATAATCCTCTTTCCTGCCCCAGGAGCCCCTTGTCCTGCAAGCCTTCTTAAACTCAAAGGTTCAAGAGGACGAGTGGTTGGAACTCAGAACATTGGGCACGTGGTCTCATGGCTACTGCTGGCCCGAGAAGAGTGTAGGCAGGAGAGCTTGAGAAAAGGACAGCCAAGAAGAAAAATGGAAGGTCATGTTCTCCTTAGTGTGCACAGGAGTCAAACCCTTAGTGAGCTTGTTAAAGTACAGACTTCTTGGCCTCTGCTGCAGGGATTCTGATTCATGAGGTCTATGCTGGGGCCCAGAAATCTGAATTATTAGTAAGCATCTCAGATGATTCTAATGTAAGTGGTCTAGAGACTATGTTTGAAGAACCCTTGGGTGAGAGAACAGTTTCATTCAAACCAAAGCCAACATCCTCCCGAAGTCACCCAAAGGAAAATTTCCAGGTGGAAGAGAGCTGTACAGAGCTGACTCTGTGTCTCTGAGCTGCACCTTCCTTGCAGTTTCCTCTCTCTGGTGAGGGACACCAGCCCCTGTATCAGTGGATGGCACCCTCAGTCAGTCCTGTTCCACAAGCCAGAAACCTGGGGGTTATCTTTACTGCTCCTCCCCACCCTCCATCCAGCCACATCCCATCCTTCCCCTAGTCCTGTGAATTTTACCTCCTAGATATTTCTCCAAGCTTTCCACTCCGTCTCCAGCACCACCACTCTGGCCCACACTACCATCTCTACCATAAACTACTACAATTGCCTTCCAGTCTGTGTCTCTGCATCCACTCCAGCCCAGCTTCAATCCATTCTTGACACCACAGGCACAGTAATCTGTTCAAAACACAATCTGGTCATGTCACTTCCAATTCCTTAAACGTTTCAAAGGCTTCCTACCACTCTAGGGCAGACCAAGATCCTTAACGTGGCCTGTGAGGCCCCCCGAGGCTTGGCCCTGCGTCAGCTTCACCTCCTTCGCTCTGTCCTGTGCTCTCTCTGCTTTAGCCACACCGTCCTTCTTTTAGTCTTGTTTACTCTTCCAGAC